GGGGGGGGGGTTAGCCGGGGTAAATCTCCTCCGCTTGGCAAGGCAGCGCTCAATCGCGTCAATTTACAAGGTGCGTGCGCACGCGTTATTAGGGGGCTGATGTCCCCTCCACGCGACGACTTCGTCTAAAAGAGGCAGGCGCCCACGCAATTGCGGTTCCTGAGACTCACGACTTTGACGCCTGCTGCTGGATGTTCTGCATGCACACGCATGTTCGGGCACAAGACGACTCGCTTGAACAGCGTGACCGCGTGCGGAGTTGGATTGGGAGCAGCACAAGCGCCTTGCCCGCATGCATGAAGGCTGCATCAGAAGAAGCCGCAGAAAGTTTTTTTCAGCTCGGAGTCAATTTCAGTCGGCCAGACCTTCATTCTCCGCGCAAACACCTGCGCCGCTTCAGCACCTGCGAGGAGCACCACACTCATGCTGTGCGGAATTAACTCTGCTCCTATCATCATTATTGTATGCTGTACATGTCTGACTTGACTGCGAAACTTCGCCTGCTGCCGGCGTGTCATTTCGCTCCAAATGCCGTCGTACGGGCCCTCGCGCTACAACACTACTGTTGTAAGACATCGGCCGAATAGCATGCGGCTGGGCTTCGATTTGGGTTGCGAGACAAGTCTCAGCACGATGGTTTCACACTTGGTTTATGACGTACGCTTCCTCCAGTCACGGGGCATTGGAGCGGGAGAGTTGATCACAATAGTGAATGAAGGGGAAGAAGCAGCTGATGAGATGTTTGGTTGCGCACTCAGGATTGCTGCCGGCGAGCTCGCCGGGCACCTGCTTTGACCTTGTGTTGCTGCAGGCCCCACGCGGTCGTTGCGTAGCTGGGTGATCGCCGGGGAGCGTGCGGCATGGCGTTGGGGTTTGCGTTGGGCGGCCAAGGCGGAACTTTCTGTGTGCGGAGGTGTCTTTGACGGCTTGCGGGGTTGGCCTCAGTGAATTGATGTCGGTCTACAACAGCAGCAGCGAGTGGTCAGGCAAGCTGCACGCGGTGCATGCATGATGGTTCAAGAGCTGCCTGCATCTTGTGCTCCGAGCCTTTTACTTTCACGGCGAGCAAGGCCCGTCGTCAGTGTGTACGCTTTCACAGCAGCTGCACAATCTGCCGAGCCTGCGTTGCTTTTCTCCATCGACCGTCTTTGCTCCATCCGGGAACTGCGGGTCCGCTACCCCAATGCGAACAAATGAGGCCCCTCCCCACCCCTCTCATGCTCGACGACTGCCGGCCTCTTTCTCTCAGGCAGCGTAGGAGTCGAAGACGCCTCCTCTCGCGGCTTGAGCGCAGCACTTCTGCTCGGACCGCGCCTGGTCATTCATTCAGCGGCGCGATCCGCTCCAGAAAGCCAAAGGAGAAGGCGGGATGGCGACAGCGCTGCACCTGTCTAACAGGGCACGAAGCCGTCGAAGAGGCGATGCGGCGAAAAGGCTTCTCCTGTAGATAGCACGCCACAACGCTGCTCCTGTTCCCTTACTCAGCACGGAGGCCAATGACACTTGCATCGGGATACTGTAGCACATCGTCGAGAAGCCTTGTTCCTGCTTGCCGAATACATGACTCACGTTGGCCCTCAGGAGAAGGGTCTGGCCAGCGATGTGCAGTCGGAGGTTCCCAGCCGAGTTGCCTGTCGCAGCGCACGACGAGTTGAAGCAAAGTTCCGTCAAGTCTACCCTTGAGCGAAGGAAGCGTCCGATTGGCCTGGCAGGGCAGTCATGAGAGTCTCGAACTGCCCCAGGGCCAAGCCTGCGCCAGTGTCTCAGGTCTGCTCGGCATCGCCTTCGGATCAAAGCTTACTCTCGTCATAAACGGTCCGCTTGTCTCAACCACAACCCTCCGCCGATCTCACATCTCTCCGCTGTCGCCCTTCCCCACTCGTCCCCTCTCCTTCTCCCGTTCGCTCGAGTCTTGGTCCGCCATCATCGGACAGACCACGGTCTCTCATATATATATCTTACTACTTTCGTAACCCGCGAGTTCTCCACATCTTTTCTGTCCCCCCCCCTTGGCATCGACTTTTCTCACTTTGGCGTCCGTGTCCACCCTACAATCCTTTCCCGTCAAACGCTGCATCTCCACCAAAATGCAGTTCACTCGTCTGTTGTCCGTGGCGGTCTTCGTCGCAGCGTTCGCTGCCGTGGTTTCTGCCACCGTAGAGACGCCCGAGAAGCTTCCTCGCATTTCCAGACGTTCCGCCGACCGTGGAGAGGTCCTTGCGCGCACAATGTTCGCTCGCCAGGCCCTGCCGCTTCCCTCCGTGGACCCATTCTACAATTACACTGGTGACCTCAACAGCAAACAGCCGGGAGATATTCTCAACACTCGTCGTGTTTCCTCCTCGTCTTACTCTTTCACATTCAACGGTCAGCTCATCGACTTGAACCAAAACGTTGAGTCAGCCACTCAGGTGCTCATTCGCTCCACCGATCAGTTTGGCGCACCTAGCACCACCGTTGCCACCGTCATCATTCCCCACAACGCCCTGTCCAACCCTCGCCGTGTCCTCGTCTTCCAATCTGCCGAGAACTCCGCGTCCAAGGACTGCGCTACGAGCTACAAGCTCACAAAGGGCAGCGGTCGCGGAGACTACGATGTTGCCATCGAGCTCGTCTTTGCTAACCGTGAGCTCGGCCAGGGCTACATTCTTGTATTCACCGACTACGAAGGACCCAAGGCAGGCTTCTCCGTCGGTAAGCTCGCCGCTCAAGGTGTTCTCGACGGTGCTCGCGGAGGCTTGAAGCAGATTGGCGTCGACCTCAACTCTGGCTCTCAAAGGGATGCCCGCCTCGCCTTCTTTGGCTACTCTGGTGGTGCCCTTGCCACCTCTTGGGCCGTGCAGAACCAGGCCGACTACGCTCCTGACCTCAGCAAGTTCATCGTCGGTGCTTCTTACGGTGGTATCCCCGTGAACCCCAAGAACACCTTCCTGCTCCTGAACAAGCAACAGGCTGCTGGTGTCGCGTTCGCCGGTCTCGCGGGTACTGGAAACATCTTCCCTGACTTCAACGCCTACCTCAACCAGCACGCTACTAAGAACGGAACCGAGCGTCTGATTCAATTCCGCTACACCCCCGGATACTGCCTTGTCGACGCCGTCAACGCTCTTCAATTCCAAGATGTCTTCTCTTACTTTGACCAGCCTCAAGACACCGTGCTCAACACCCCAGTCATTGCCGATGCTCTCGCGAAAAACACTCTGGGATCTAGCCAATTTAACCCTAGAAAGGCCCCGGCTTTCCCCGTCCGCATTCACCAGGCCATGATCGACGAGATCGTTCCTACTGCTGATGTCGACAACTACGTCAACAATGAGATCTGCAAGAACAACTGGAACGTTCTCTATGTCAAGGAGCTTGTCGGCGAGCATCAATCTCTCGCCATCACTGGCTCCCCCGCCGCCTTCGCGTGGCTGGACGACCGATTCGCCGGCAAGAACGCTAACCTGAACGGCTGCCAATTCCAAACCACCGCGAGTTCCTTGATCAGCTGGCAGGCGTACCTCGTGTTCGGTCAATCGCTCTTGAACCAGCTGCTGGCCATCTACAACGCTCCTCTTGGCCCTCTTTCCCTCTTCGGTGAGAAAAAGGTCGGAAGCAACAACGGCTCAGTTCAAAGGGTCAGCCCAAGCATTGTCAACTCCCTGTCCTCCTCTGCCGCCGTCTCGGGCACCTCGTCTGCTTCCGCCCCCAACGCAACCAACACTGCCGCGACCAAGCCCGTGTCAAACGCTACTCAGCCAGCCCAGACCTCCAACAAGCCTTGGTGGCAGAGATTCGTGCCTTCTTGGCTCCAGTAAGAGACTCGCACTCGCTGCCCGTCTCGACCGCAAGCTATGAAACGCACCAGAACGGACTTCTCACGAGAACGCATCTCAGTCTCCAACTGCTAGACTCAAACACCACCGTCATCGGACACATCGCTACATCACGCTCATTTTCTCCCACTGCCCCGTCTCACCTCTTTCGCATTCTTCCACTTTGCCAGCGCAAGTTCCACTTTGCCAGCTCACCCTTGCGCCGCGCAATGCCTCTTCTATTCGCCTTCACAAAACTAGCCATGCGCTATTCGTAACCCCTCTTTCTAACCTTGCTGTCTCGCCGTCTCTGTGCCGATGCAAGCCCCTTCGCAGTCGAGCAGTCAAACGTGTATTGTGCCAAACTCTTGCGCTTCGAGATGGACCTCTATTTATCTCAGCCTGATCAGTACAATGCAACTTTCGCCTCATCTTGTCAGATTCGCTTGCGAGAGTGTGCGTGCTGTCTTCATCATGAGACGCTTCGGAAGTGTGCGCGACGCCAAAAAATGATCTCGCTTAGCTCCAATCCAAATCGTCGTCGGCCAGCTCGACTTCCTGCCTCCTCCTATCCAACACATCTCCGATCTCCCTCGCTCTGATCGCATCTCTATTGGCAGAGACTGCGTCCCTGCTCCGACTTTCTAGCGCGGCTTGAACACCTCCAGCGTCTATCCTGTCCGAATCGTCTTGCCTGGCAGGGTCATATCGAGACATGAACGATGTTCTAGCGTCAAACTCTTCGTGCTTGTCTGGTTGGATGCTGGGGGCAGAATGGACATCAGGTAAGGTTGTCAGTTGCGAGCCTTGCCACATGATGTGTCGTATCAAGCTGCTGCGAAACGCTGCTACTGCGATCCGTCACTGTGCATCATCGATTGCACCATCTAGTCATGGCACTTTTCCTGGCCTACCTAACTCACCTCCTCTGCAAGTCTTCTGCCTCCTCTTCTTCTGTCTTGCTCGTCGTCTTGGCGTTGACGACCTGTTGAAGATGCGATCGAGGGCGCGAAAGCGGTTGGATCGGCATTGTGAGCGTGAGTATGCAAGTCATATGAGCTAGAGGCGTGCGGTCATTCATCTTCTTCACTGCCCCCGATCTCGTTGTGGCCCCAAGTGCTGCGAACGCCTCCTGCGATGTCCAGACAAGCCTGCCCTCAACGAGCCACGAATGAAGCTCGGGGCGCGCTTTGCCGTCGCGCTGGCCATCGCGCCCCTCGTTCGCACACACTCACAAAGTGGTTGTCGCAATGCGGACAATACTCGTCCCCTTCCTCCGCTCGAGTCAAATCGACCCTGAAAGCCCTCTTGCACTTTTTGCAAATCAGCTGCATCTCCAACGTCTTTCTCAGAGCGTGCGATTCCGATTCGGCATGACAGGCCGGACAATCGAACCACTGTTGGCAGCATGGTGCTCTGACCGAGACTTGCGCATTGAGAATGTGCTTGCTGCGTAAAGGGGACAAAGGTCAGACAGGAGCTGGCCGTTGCGGGCACCGACCAAGAGCGAGCCAATCGACCGATCTGTCCCTTCATCACACTCACCACATCTCCGCAGCGCAGGTTCCAACGAGGATTGGGTCTTCCCAACGTGCGCCTCTGTTATGTCCACCTTTCTCCGCAACTCGACGCGTCCCTTCTGATAAGCTCTGGATTGCCCCTGTTCCGATGTCTGCAGCGATCAAGGCGATACTGCGGACTACGCACCCCCCCAGAAGTGTGCTTCGTCTACCGCTTTGCAAGACCTGCGCAATTCCGTCAAAAAGCTAGAATGAGACCTGCTTGGAGCTGATTGCGCGCACAGCCTTTTTTTGCCCTTGAATGACAGGATGGGCGCAAATGAAGTAAAGGTGAGTGTCGAGAAGGCGTAATGATGAAGCCGCGTATTGTCGTCGCAAGGTCACGAGAAAGTGTCGTGTTCGGCTTCGTGGCAGCTCGATCTGCCTTCACGCGCGACTCGAAGGCATGACTGGAACGCCCGGCATGCAGGCGACAACAGCGAGCGGGGCGAGCGCTCTCTTCTTGGGCGCATGTAGCCGTCCTCGACGCGCCGAAGCCCTGGAGCCATGCGCGTGCTGCGTGTACATCGACGACTCATTGATTACACCACGCTCAGCCGTGAATGCCTCAAGTCGCGGTCAAAGCGCTGGCCCCATCATTCTTCAGCAGTCCACAATCTCGAAACCGGAAGCCAATGGAGCAGCACACGTCCCTACTCCCGCCAGGGGGCAGCGCGGCCGGCTTGTTCAGTGCCGAGCATTGGTCGCACATCGCACCTACCTACTCTTGGCGAGCGTCTAGGATACGCGGCCGAACGCTTTGCTCTTCTCTCCATAGGAATACAGAAGAGCGCGCACGGGCAATAGTGATGCAAGCCCGCAGCTCCACTCGCCTCGCCAGCAAGACTGGATAGAGCGCAAGCAGAACGGATCAGACACATAGATGTAAGAACGCATCAAGGTGCAGGCAAGAGAGGTGTTTTGATGGAATGGCAACGTTAGAAACTGTAGAGCAAGCGATGATTGAGTAGTCTACTTGGCAGCCTTGGCGAGCTCGATACCTTGAGTAGCGTTGAGCGCCTTCTTGATGTCGGAATAGATTGCGAATTGACCGGCAGTGAGCGTACCAATCATACTGTGGGTGAGTGGCATGGGCATGTTTTGTGTCAGCTTTCCGTGAAGCCACTGGTCCTCTGTGAACAACAGCATCGCATACGCACACGAAACGAGCAGTCATACCGCCGAAGAGACCGCGCACGCCGAGCTGCTTGGCCATTCCGATCAAGCGGCTTGTCACACCCTCTCCTGGGGCGCCCTTGGTCTTGTTGATCTTCGACAGCAGCGTGTCGGCGGGTTGAGAGATGAAGGCAGCTGCGAAACCGGCGAGCACACCGGATCCTAAGTTCAGGCTGGTCAAGAGACCGGGCGAGAGTTGCTCTTTGGGCTTGCCAGTCAGGCCCACAATCTTCTCGAAGGCGACCTCGCTAGAGGACGGAGAGCACAGCAGTAGGACGTGAGCGAGCAGGTTGGACAGGGTTCAACACCGCATGACTCACTAGACGGCAAACTTGGCCATCGTGTATGGCACCTGCTTGAAGAGGATGGGGCCGAAGCTAGAGGAGCGGGGTCAAGGGAGGGATTCAGGTCAGTGGCCCGCCAAAGCAGCGCGTCCTAGCTTTGCGATTCCTGTATCATCGCTGAGCTGGCGGCCCCGAGCGGAGCGTCCTGCATGTACGGGCGTGACACTCACCCAGAGTAGAAGCCCTTGAGACCCTCCTCACGGGCAATCTTTGCGAAACCGCCGAGAAGACCGTTGGCAAAGCCAGGTTGGGAGACGAGACGGATACGCGTGGCCTCGAGGGGGCAGAGAGCAATATCTGCGAAGAACTCTGCGATACCGGAAGCTACCAGGTAGACTGCTCCGCGGTTCGCGGTGGCAGTCTCGAGACCGACTTGGTCGATGATGGTCTTCTTCCAGAACTCGTAACTGCAGATGGGCAGTGGGGACGCAGTCAGCGATTGGATATGCGGAAAAGGGGCGATAAGACCGGTGCGGCAGCCGCTATGGTATAGCTATGTGAAGCTGCAATAGAGACCGGCCGAGGCTGTCGCAGTCGGAAGCAGTTGCTACGCGCTCCAAGGCGACCATTCCGGCAGCCACAAGTGTCTTCTCGCCAGCCCTTGCAACGCGCGAACCCGATTCCGCACTCTTGAGCAGGAAAAATGAGTGTACACTCACCCTCCGAACTTGAAGGCTCCCTGCAGGAAGTAACCGGCAGCGGTGGGGCCGAAGCCGGTCAGAAGGGCACCAGCACCCTCCTTGGCCACGACTTGGCGGAATCCAGTGATCATGCCCTGTTGAGCGGGAAAGTGATTTTGATGAGATCCTGGCTGTGATCTAAACTGAGACGAGTGGAGTGTACGCACCTTGTTGTACACCTCGGGCTCCAACTGGATTCTGGTCTTGACAACATCGACGGGGGTCAAGGCACCGTGGGTGATGGCGCACTGCAGCGCAAAGAGGGCATGCTGAGGAGTCAGCGGTTTCTGCAAGCTGAATGCTTGAAGCGCCAGAGAAGCGTGGCGTCGCAGCGAGGCTCATTCTGAGTCCACACGGACTGCATCAGCTGCCTTCTTTTTGTTGATCAACACTTACGCAGACCGCACCGGCAAAGGCGAATCGAGCGTACAGGTCAGCACCGCTGGGGGCAGCAGCGGCCTCGACGGGCGCTCTGATGGGGAAAGCCTGGTTGACGGTAGGCTTCCTGGCGGGCTGAGCGCCGTTGAGGTGTTGGAAGATGGGGGAGTTGAAAGACATTGTTGGAACAGATCGCTCGCTTATGGAGGAGAGGGTTGTATGCAATATCTTGCTTGCCGTCAGGTGTGCGTGGAGGGCTCGATGATCGTCTAGACCTTCCTTTGATTCTATGGTGTGTGCGTGAGATGGGGAGTGAAATGCGCTGAACGGAATCAGAATGAGCCAGATGGTAATTAAGTTGGCACAAGCATGAATCGCGGCCTACAGCATGGCGAGCAACGTTGTGCTGCCTGATGCTCCCATGGCGCCCACCGCCGATGAGCACCGAGTTCAGGTATGCTCCAGCATGCTCGTCGCTCAGCAACACGCCCCCCCGAGCGTGGCCGGTGCATGACTTGCAGCTCAAATTCGAACTTTTTGCTTTGTTGCTTATTGGGCGCAAGCGCACGCGCACGCGCACAGCCAAAGCGCTGCAGCCGCGCGCGTAAACTGGCTCCCGCCACGGAGCGCACGAGCTCAAACCTCAAGTAGTGTCTGCTACTCGCTGCCGCCAGGGCTGTCGAGCCGCTAATGCGCGCCCGACACTCCCCGACGGATTATTACCCTGCAGCTCCACAGGATCACGTGACTCGGAGAAACGATGAGCGCCTCAATGCCGCAGCAGCTTCCCGCGCATTCGTGATTTGGGTGAAGCTGCCTCGAAGCATGCTCCGAATCACGAATGTGAGTCGTACTTCACCACATGCTTCGCGCGGCAGCGACGATACCTGATGCTCGGTCTGTATCCGTCGAGAAAATAATGCAATCGAGAATGACCACGTCGCGCTAGGCCCGGCAAATAGGCGGACACGTCTGGCACGGTCTTCACCTCGACCCCTCGTTGTGGGGGCCGCCCTGCTACAATATCAGCGCTTTTGTGTGAATGAAAGAACACAGCAGCTTCGTGGTTGTCCGCACGGTGATTGACAGCAGCATCGCGAAGGGTGTGCTTCCTAAGCGTAGCATCTACCAGACAAGCTTCGAGACAAATGATGGGCGCCAGCCGAGAGCGTGATGGGATCGCCAAACGCCACATGGCAACAGCAGGCTGGCAAGACGCGCCGGCAAGACGCATCCGTCCGGAATGACCTAACGTCGGGAGGACTGCTTGACGTTGCCCGTCCTCACCGCGTCCAGCAGCGAGAATGTAGTGACTTGCTCAAGAGACGGAGCATGGCAAAGCTTCACGATCGAATGACTCTGGCGGATCGAATCTGGAATTGAATGAAGAATCTGAATCTTGAATTGAATTTTGAATGGGTCGACGAGGTCGTCTGACACGTGATGCTTGTGGATCAGGGTTTTGGCGGGCGGGCGGGGCGGAAGGTACAGCGGTTGAGTGGTGCTGATGCCGCGCCCGCGCGCCCAGCTGTGCGCAGCAGGTAGACAAGCGCGCTTGGGCTTCCGCAAGAGCGTGATGTGCTGCGTGCGCGCGTCCAAGCGCTGCATGCCGCTCGCCTCACCTGCTGCTGCTGCTGCTGCTTCCTCGAGGCAGCAGCGCCGCCGCCGCCGCCGCCGACGCCGCTGCTGTGAGCTGTCCTTCTCTGCATGGCTCTCGCGCGCATGCTCGCTCGCTCGCTCGCTCGCCCGACCGCGACTGCTTTCTTCGCTCGTCTCGGCCGCTGATGTTCTGTCTTCGCCCAGCAATCAAGCAGGCAGGCAGGCAGCCAGGCAGGCAGGCCAAGCACGCAGCCCAGGTCAGTCGATCCACTCATCTTCTGCATCCAGGCCAAACCTCATTCAGCTTCTCACAGCTAACACCTCAAAAGGGGACAAGGACAATAACCTCGTCTCATCTTGATCGCACCTACGCGCGCCCTCTTTGATTATCGCCGACAGAGGAGCAAGCAGGCAGGCAGACCGTCGTCGCCCTGCAACTTCGCAAAAGCAATACCGTCGCAAAAGGACTTTGCTGCGGTTCATCTGTGAGTACCGCCCCCACGCGAGGAGCGCGACTTCACCTTCGCCAAGAAGCCCCATGCTGCCGAGGAAGCCAGGCTTGATCGTAGATGGCATTCACGCCTGCCAACCAGACGTCACCTCGGAGCGAGCTTGCAGGCACGCTGGCCGCGCAGGAAGACGACAGAGGACCTCGTCGCCGTTGCGCCTGCGACGCTCTGTCGCGTCTTGCTGCGCTCCGGGATGAGCAGCAGAGCCTCAAGAAGCGTGACGATGTTAGAGGCTACCCAATGGCGATCAAGTGGAAGCTTACAACCCCTACTCCACTCGCAGCACACCTAAGCCTGACGACTGGCTGTTCTGCTCACTCGCCAAGGCGAGTTTAAACAGTCGACCGCAATGTCGGTCGCTAGTAAGAACCCTTTTGCCCTTTTGGGAGGTGAGTGGTAGGCAAAGTCAAACATGCCGAGAACCACTGCTGGAGCCCTTCGGCACTGTAGGGCACTCCCGGCTAATCGAGGAAAAAAAAACCCTTGCATGTACTCTATCCTCAGATGACGATGGACCCGCACCGGTACCCGTCGCTCCCACGAAGGAAGCTGCACCAACAGCTCCCAGGAGAGCGATCGTAGGTGCTGGTCAAACTCAACAGCGCGGTGGTCGTGGAGGCGCTCGCGGTGGTGCTCGTGGTGGAAATGCTGGCGCACAGCGCGCCAACGCTGGAGCGGAAGATGGTGAACTCCAACAACAACGCGACTCGCGCTCCGAGCGTGAGTGTCTCCTTGTGTTAACAGGAAGGCCTTTGGCCGGGTGCGGGGAAGAGGCCTCAGCATGCCTTTCAGTGGCTGTTGAGCTCCAACGCAGTCCCTGCAAGGCTCGCCGTCCTTGGATTCGAATGGTCGCTCCATCTCTAAGCATGTCGTTCCAATGTGCTTAGCGTGTAATCTCTCTTCCCATTTCGTTACAGGCGGCGGTCGTGGTGGCCGCGGAGAAGGACGAGGTGGCCGCGGACGTGGTGGTCCTCGAGGCCGTGGACGTGCTTTTGACCGTCACTCTCAAACAGACCGCGTGTAAGTCTAGCAGAATCCGTGTGAATCAATCACAAAGAAACTGACATCTGAGCCCTTCGTTGCCTACCACAGCGACTCCGAGAAGCGCGTTCACCAAGGTTGGGGCGGTGATGAAGGCAAGCGCGAGCTAGAGAACGAGGAGAACGCAGTCGCAGACGCCGCTGCCGAGGGCCAAGCTCCCGTGCCTGAGAACGCAGCTTCGGGTTGGGATGCTCCCGCCGACCCCGCTGTGCCTGGCGCTACCCCCGCCGCTGATGCGCCCGCACCGATCCCGGAAGAGGAAGTGGACACCACCAAGACTCTGGATGAGTACCTTGCTGAGCGAGCGGCCAAGAAATTCACCATCGGAAACGCTAGCGCTCCTCGTCAGGTTGAGGCAGATGAATCGGCCTTCGGCACCAAATTCGTCCGAGAAGCTGTTGAGGAGGAGGCCAAGAAGGTGAGTTGAGCAGCAACGACGTCTTTGTGGAGAGGCTTGACCGAGGTCAATTATCTAGCGTTGACTATTGGTGTCCGTGTTTCGGCTGATCATCGCTTATGCGTGAACTTTGTCACCTGCTTCAGGCAAACCCTAACTACAAGCCGCGTGAGAAGAGCGCAAAGACGAAGCAATTCCTCGAAATCGAGCAGACCTTTGCTCCTGCTGCTGGAAGCGAGAGAGGCGGTCGCGGCCGTGGTCGCGGCGGACGTGGAGGTGACCGTGGAAGCGAGCGTGGCGGACGAGGCCGTGGACGCGGCGATGGAAGTCGCGGTGCTGGAAGAGGACGTGGTGCTGCTGGATACACTCGTGGGGGCGGTGCTGGCGGCGCCGTCAACCTCCAGGACCAGAGCGCCTTTCCCACCCTGGGCTGAAGCAGCAGCTTCTCGAGTCACGCCTTGGAGACACTTCAGGGCGAATTGCCCCTACTTTCAAGCATTCAATCAGCTCCTGCTCGTCGAGACCTTTCGAACGCGCTCCTTCCTACACAGCGCGGTGCATATGGGTATCCTAACCTCGTCTGTGCACGCAGTTACGATTCCGTTCCCGCCTTTCTTCCCTTCGTTCCCTACCCAAAATGTGATTGATCTCCAATGAATGAAGCCGAATCCGTATGCCAAGATTTACAAAGGATGATTGACGCTTGCGTGATGTTGCGCGGCGGTTCGTTTCGATCCGAGTGCTCTGTGCCAGGATGCGAATTTGCGCCCTTTTCCGGCTTTGCCGAGCTGTCAAAGTGAGGAGGGAGCACACGATGTGTTTGCGCAGGGTAAATATTCGTGACGAGGGGCAGACCTCTGCTCGCAAACCCCTGATGAGCCTCAAGGGGGCGCCCCTCATGACAGAGCACACGTAGAAATAGAGAAATTCCTGCTCGCGCACCGCACCTCTATGTCTCGTATGGGGGGTGCGCGAGCACAAGATCTTGGCTCAGCGCTCATCATGCATGTCGCTAGCTCGCTCGCACCTTGCGATCCCAACACATTCGGCATCGGAGTAGTGTCTGACTTGATGCCACCCCATCATCGATCTCTGACTTGAACATTATAAAGATGGTCAGAGAGACGAGCAATTACATTTCGCGATTGATACAGCCAGGCAGGCAGGCAAATTTACTACGACTAGTTCTTTCTTTTGGGGAGATTGGGAGCATCATCGACCAGGACGGCAACGTGACGAAGGAGCAGTGAAATGGCGATGACCGTAATTTGAGCGTTGCATCGTGGATCATCAGCATGACGTGCGAGTTCTGCTGCATAAACAAGGTCGAACGAGTATGCAGACTTGCCGATCTTTTGATATTGGGCGTTTCAGCTCTTGAGAGGCGATTCAAATTCGACTAGAATCTTTGAGATAAAGTGGCGATTTTTGAAGATGCACGACAGCCTGGAATATGTTGCGCTCGCGTACAAAAGGACCGAGAGCAAAGGCTTATTGGCTGCCGGCTTGACCTTCGTGGACATTGAGTGTTAAAGGCGACTCTTCATGCTTTGCGCTTTGGGCATTTCGGACCAGCGTGCAGAAGTCATGTTGCGCATCGTATCAGCAGACGATGACGACCCTTGCTTGGCATCAGGCGCCGTCGGATAGGAATGGGGCGCTTGCTGCTCCTCTTTACCTCCTTCCGCCACCGTTTTTGATTTCTCCTGATCCTCGTCTTTGCACCACCGATTGACGGTAGCAACAAACAGCTTGATATCCTCTGTCGTGTTGTCCGCATGAATGCAAATGCGCACTCGTTCTTGACCTTTGGGCACCGTGGGGTACATGACAGTGCGCACCAAAAAGCCTGCAGATCTGAGGTGCTGAGCCAGCTGAGCAGCTTGGGGACTCAAGAGGGGTATGATCGGCGAGGGAGGCAGCGCGGCGAGCGCTGGATCGGCGCTGCGCGTCAGTGCCAAGGGAAGTCGAGCTCGACGTTGATGTGGGTCAGTGTTGACGTCGTCGGCATTGATGTTCGGCTCGATGGCGTTTACGAGTCCTCGTATCATTGCCATGGTGTTGTCGAACAGCCTTTCGAAACGCAGTCTTGCATCTGCTCGATTCTGCAGCGCGTCGAGCGCACACTCGATCGACATGACGGTATTGAATGATAGAGCGGTGGAGAAAACCTGTTGAGGGATGCGTCGCACCAAGACGTGAGCAGTGCAGAACCTGGACACGCTCAAGGTCGCCAAGGCCGGCTCACCAGTGGACGACCATAATTGAGCAAGAATTGGCGAATGAGCGGGGAGCATAGCACGGCAGCTGATTCGGCGAAAACAGGCAAAGTCAGTCAGGTGGTGCTACCAGCATCCGCAAACGTTGTTGTGAGCCTAAGCTCACCTCCACTGCTGGCAAAAGCCTGTGTCAAAGCGGGCCGAGTCAACAGCTGAGCTAGATGACGCGAGCGCACGGGTGATGTTGAGCATGAACTGACCTTTCCAAAAGTGCTTAGTCGCACGGAAATGTCCTTGTGCAGGCCGAGCTGAAAGCAAAGACCTTCGCCCCTTGGGCCGTACACGCCTACACTATGAGCCTCATCGACGATAAAGTGCCTATTGTCGCTTCTAGGTACGAGTCGTTCGGCAATGTCCATGAGCTCGGAGAGCGGGCAGACATCGCCGTCCATAGAGTAAACGCCCTCCACAACAACGAAGACGTTCACCTTTCCATTGCGCAGATCAGAGGACAGCTGGACAGTCTTGGCAGCTGCAGCGCGATCGAGAGCTTCGAGCACGCTTGTCGGAGGAGTCAGCACGTCGCGAAGGACACGCTCGAAATCCTTGGGCGAGTTGTGCGCAAAGCTGATACGGCGTGCGGCTCGAGAGGAGCGCATGCCATCGTGCGTGCTGGCATGAACCAGACTGTCGTACATGATCACATCGCCCGGCTGCGGCAGCGTGGCCATCAGGGCAGTATTGGCATCGTAGCCCGAGTTGAAAAGCAGCGCCGCTTCGCTATCAAAATGATGAGCCAGGCGGTTCTCCAGCTGCGATGGGAAAGGAGGGGCGCAATTAGTATCAGGGCGAGACAGTTGAGATTCAGCATCATCCACTAGCAGCGGGGTGAGCGCACTGTGCGACAGCGTCGTAGTAGCCGTGAAGCCTCTTGAGCGCTTCATTGGGGCGAACGAACGCATTGGCCCCTACTCACATGCACATGAGCCATCGAATTGCCGTCTAGGAGTCGGCTGCCGGTGCTTCCCATCACTCCGTCACCCGTGCTGACGGCTTTGTGGACTCTTGCCAAAAAGTTGCTCCTCACCTCTTCGCAGCTCGCGAGGGAGAGATAATCGTTGCTGGAGAAATCTACAAGCTGGGCTTTGTTGTTCGACGTGCCGTCTAGGCGTGCAGATGACTTGGCTCCTTTGCGCTTGTCGGACGAGGTGATGGAAGGAAAGACGGTGAGCGCGCGAAGAGAACCTTTTTTGCGGCGCTGGTCTAACGCAGCTTTGAGTTGCAGGTGCAGCATGGTCGCGATGATGAGGTGTGTGTGTGTGGCGAGGGCGCGGCGTGACCTGAGTAGCCTCTGTTTGCAGCTGTATCAGTCCGAAATGCTGGCTAGCTGACTGGGTAGCTGGCTTGTGCTGGAATACAAGCAGGGCTCCGACCAAGCTTGTCCTCCGTATCCCTCTCTGATTCAGAATGGGATGGATTCGGCTGTCACCTGCTGTCGGCCTTGCGATTCTCACGGCTATGAGGTGAGCAGCAGTCAGCAGTGTTGAGCCGCGGCGGGGAGTCGTAGCCGGCGTCGCAACTGCTGGGTGCTATCGTCGAGCTGCTGCGACCTTGGCTGACTCCTGCTGCTGCTGCCCTCGCTCTCGACGCTGACGGGCGTGGGATCGCACAGCAGCAGCGGGGCTCGCCAGGATTTGCCTCAAACGATTGTAAAACAGCTCCGCCAAGACTTGCGAACCGGGGATCGTCGTCTCGGTCCCAATCGGAGCTTTGACGGCCAGAATGCAATCAGCGTCGACGCGCTCAAGGGGACAGCGGCCGGTGGACGATGATGCTCGGACGTAGTACGCTCTGCTGCTGATTGAGGGAAAGCAAAGCCTGCAGAACCTGGCGGGGTCCGACGAAGCAGGAATAACCGGCTGAAGCGAACCGCTTCTCTCCCTTTGCGTCCTGCCTCTCGCTTTCGATCTGTTCCAGAGCTACAGCTACACTTGAGAAGGGCGCAGCAAGGCAGCTCTTTGTGTGAGTGCGTGTGTGCGCGTGTGCGATGTGAGACTCGAAGCTGCCGCTGCGGTATGCTGGCCCAGATCGTGAATCACAAATCGTGAATGTGAATGACGAATGTCGCGATCGATGAATCCGGATGCTTGGATATAGGGATGTAGGCCCGCGACGATCGTACGCGATCCGCGGATGATGGCGATGGTCGACGATGAATGAATGTGACACGTGTGATGACGGTTTGGGTTCCGGAGAGAATGTTTCAATCAGAGCAAAACAAGATCCAGCATGACCGACATAGAAGCAATGTAGCTAGCACGCAAGCCGCAGCGGACGATCAAACAGCAGTTGCTGCAGCGGTGTTGAGGACTGATAAGACGAGGGAGGTGCTAGCTCGTGACACGGCATGAAGATAGTCGGCGTAGATGGCAAGAACGAGGTAGGTGGTAGTGGCAATCTGAATCAGGATATCGTCAAACTACTTCTTGCGTGTAGCTGGGCCAGCTGGCTAGTTGGCTGGCGAATGAGCAAGCAGGCTGTTGCGTGCTCGATGGTGGGAGCAACACTGATGTCCGGATATCGATGCGATCGGTCCATGAAGTGTAGCAATGTGAAGTGATGATGGGTGCTTATCGGTCGGTCGTGGTGATGCGCCGATCCGCGGACCGAATTGGTGAATCAAAACGCATACAGACCGATGACGTGCGCGAGAGAGCGGTGGGTATAGCGAAGACAGCTGTTGTCTAGATTGATAAGTTGCACACGCAGAGATGAACCAAAAATGGTCGGCAATGAGGAGAGATGGACAGTCTCTCCGGATAAGGGTTGAGGGTACTGGTTCGAGACGCTAGAGTGTGAGTGTGACTGATTTGGTGGCAATGATCAATCGTCAAGGAGCGGAGGCATGAGAAGTGTAGCTATGTCAAGTGAGAATCAAGGACAATCAAGAATGAGCGTTTGACGACGAAGAGAGTCGTGATGGTGAATTCATCGTACAGCGCGCGATTCGCGATTGTTTAGAAGATTGAAGATTCGTGATTGAAACTCGAACCCCACGCTGCTCGCACGAGAATCTTGAATTCGCGACTCAATCACAATCAAAGTGGTTAATTCGACATTCCTTATTATCTATTAGTAGGTATTCGTGATTCTTACCACTCACATTTCGATTCTGAAGCTGGCTGCTTAGAACGGTAAGGTACGCGCGGTGCATGCACTATGTGTGTGCTCGGGCACGCGGACACGCGAGAATCAATCACCAATGGCATTCAATGTATCGGCTCCGAGCATCGACCGCACGCGCGCGCAGATGCTTGGATATGATATGTGACAAAGCTTTGTCCGAAGGGAGGGGGGCGATTGCACTCCATTTGATGCGTCTTTGCAACAATGACATTCGCATCCACATTCACAATTCAAGCCTCGTTGATGTCAGATGCCGCCTATCCATCGGTCAATCAAAATTAAACGTCAAAGCGCGAAATGGGATCAACCCCTTGGGTCGAAACACTTGCGCCCAGGTCTTGAATGCGCAACCTCATCCTCACCTCCCGCGCCTGTTCCGGCAAATTCGTACGAGTCTGTTGCACTTTACTGCGCCTTGTAGCCAATCTTGAATTCATACAGTCGGTCGAGTTCTTTTAGACGCAGTCGCGTCATATTGGCACTTGCTCGCACCATTATTCTCCTTGCAATTGTCGTTCACCCGGGTGCTCACTCGTGACCTCTCAAGCCCACTGGCTGCTCTCTTTCGCTCCAACTTTAGTGGTCAAGACTCAGATCGTCTGGCCCGGTCTGATCCTTTCGCCCTCTTGGCAAGTCTGTGAGCACAATCGGAGGGTCGAGGTCGAGGGCGAGTTTGCAGATATGAGCCGTCATTGCCGTCCTCGATCGCCTCGCCTTCGCATGCTCACCTGAGGATCGCGCAGAAGACTCTTCTCGAAAGGCGCAGCGCGCGGGATAGACGAACCTCAGGTCTCAGGCACGTAGCTTTGACGACGTTTTGAGGCACTCTATCATCAAACTCTACCCGTTGAGTGCGGGACAGGTCTCAGCGCAATAGTCTCGGATGCGAGCTCCGGGAAGCGTTTTGCCTCAGCTAGTCAAAGTGGCCACACATCCCGACCGGTCCTTCATTCAGAGCACCGCTAGCGGCCAAAGGTTTCATCTCCTCGTCATTTCCATCAACCCTGATTGGGCGTGACTCGAATCGCGGGTCATCGAGCATGTTCCACGATTGCATTACAAGTGTCCCTAATGCATGTGAGACCAAAGTATATGGCGACGCTCTACCTACAGGAGTGAAGAAGGGTGAAGATGAAGTAGAAGTCGACGGAACCAGAAAGAAAGAGGGTGCGATGACTGATCAAGGACCGAGAACGAAAACTGCGCGCGCGCACGCTCAAGGTTCAGGAGGCCCTTTGGCTGCGACGCCAGGAGTGCCAAGCTCACCTGGTGGCGGAGGTGGAGCAGAAGACTCGCCCCTGCCTAGCCTCTTGTCCAGGTAATCGTCAGCCTCATCGCTAGTCTTGAAAGGTCTCCTGCCAAGCATCTCTCTCATATCCTGACGCGTCAGAACTTCTTGCTTCAATAGACGCTGAGCGACCGTCTCAAGCTCTTTTCTCCTCTCGTGAATCAGCTTCCTTGTCCGCTCGTGAGCCTCCGTAATGATGCGGCGCACCTCATCGTCGATTCTTTGACCAGTAGCTTCAGAGTGGGGCTTGTTGAACGATTCTTGCTCTTGCTTATACGACACCAAGCCCATGTCCTGGCTCATGCCGTAGCTGCTGACCATCTCGTATGCGATCCGGGTGACCTTGGTAAGATCGTCCTGCGCACCGGTAGTGATGCTGCCAAACATCTCTTCCTCGGCCACACGTCCGCCCAATGTCATGCAGATTCGATCGATCAATGCTTCGGTGGAGAAGAGGTACTTCTCCTTGGGCAAGTACTGAGCGTAGCCGAGCGCGCCGACACCACGTGGAATGATGGACACCTTTAGTAGAGGGTCAGCGTGCTCCAAGAACCAACCACAAATGGCGTGTCCAGCTTCGTGGTGCGCAACAATGTTCTTCTCCTCGGGGCTCAGTACGCGTGTCTTGCGTTCCAAGCCGGCGATTACACGCTCAATGGCCAGGTCAAAGTGCTTCTCCTCCACAGCATCCGCGCCGTTGCGTGCTGCGATGAGTGCCGCTTCGTTGGCAACATTAGCAACATCAGCTCCAGAGAAGCCTGGAGTGAGAGTAGATAGTTTTTGTGCCAGAAGGTCGACATCGGTGCTCGATGCCAGCTTCAAAGGCTTCAAATGGACCTTGAAGATCTCCAAGCGTCCTCCAATATCTGGCCTGTCGATGGCGATGTGTCGGTCGAATCTGCCGGGTCGCATCAGGGCAGGATCCAGCACATCTGGTCTGTTTGTGCCGGCCAAGACGACAACGTGCTCGGTCGTGGAGAATCCATCCATCTGAACTAGCAGCTCGTTCAACGTGGATTCGCGCTCGTCATTGCCACCCATGCTACCACCCTTGCCTCGAGCTTTTCCGATGGCGTCGATCTCATCGACAAAGATGATGCACGGAGCGTTCTTCTTGGCGTTGGCGAACATGTCTCGAACGCGCGAAGGGCCGACGCCAACGAACTTTCCAAGGGATCAAGCAGAGCATCGGTCAATCAGCGGCGCCACGTCAGGATCCGAACACAATCTCAGCAGACTCACCATCTCAACAAATTCTGAACCGCTGACGCTCAGGAATGGAACACCAGCCTCTCCGGCCGTAGCCTTGGCCAGCAGCGTCTTACCAGTACCGGGAGGTCCGGAAAGAATGGCGCCCCTAGGAATCTTGGCACCGAGCCGCTCGTATCGCTCAGGCTTCTTGAGGAAGTTGACGAACTCCATGATTTCTTCCTTGGCCTCGTCCATACCAGCGACCTGGTTGAACTTGGTTTTGATGTCCGTTTCTTGATTGAACATCTTTGCTCGACTCTTGCCGATGCCAAAGATGCCCCCTGGTCCACCCGCGCCGCCTCCGCCGCCTCCCATACCACCAGCTGCTCGGCGTGTGGCATAAATCATAAGACCGACGAGTAGCAAAGTAGGAGCAAAGTGGATGAGCGTTTGGCCCCAGCTGATTTCCTCACGATACGCCACAGGGATGCGCTCATGCGGAGGAATGCCTAGATTCTGTTGCGCTTCGTCGAGTCTTCGCTCGAAAGCTTCGACACTTCCAACAGTGAACCAGTACGGCGCGCTGCTGTTGGACGAGGAAGGCTGACCAGGCATCGTGTTGGACGCATTGCTGTGCAAGAACACCTTGACCTTGCTGCGGTTGGACACGACGAGACGGTCTACAAGGCCCTTTTCAAGGAAGGCCGTTCTAAATTCTTGCCACGTGATTTCGCGGGAAGAGGTGGAAGGCGAAGTGATTTGCCACAAGATGTACGTAGCGGCGATTGTGAGGATGATCTGGTTGCCATTGATGCGCACCTCGTGAATCTGAGGTCCGCCTTTGTTGCCTCCTTCGAAGCCGCCGGAGCTTCTCTTGTCCGAGTCCTTGTCATCCTTCGACTCCTTCTCAGCCTTTTCTTCTTCCTTCGCTGCCTTCTCACCCTGGTCACGGAACCACTTGCTGAGCTGGCTCAACGGATCTGTCGGGGCATCGTCCCTATTGCTCTCCTTTGCCTTCTTGGCCTCCTTCAGACCCCGCTCCAAGCCTTCTTCGAACTCCTTCTTCTTCTGCTCGGGAGACTTGGTTTCAGCGGCTTTGGATGTGCCGGGGACATCGCTGTCATTCTTGGCTTGCACATCAGCTGCTTCCTCCTTTCTCTTCTTCATCTGCTCGTCCTTCTTCGGTTCTTGATCAGCTGGCCGAGCATAAGCTCTTCGCGCTGACCACGCCCATAATGGGAGCTCAGAAGGCTTGGAAGAGGTCAGTGGCTCTCTGTTGCGAGATGCCGCAGCTTCAGGCCGCCTCCTGGCAGCAGTGTGAAGCTGAGAGCCATGAGTGGCCAGACTGGCAGCGTGCGCGGCCTGCAAAGAAGCTCGATAGGAAGTCAAGCGCGAGGGGCCCACCTGCAATGATGTGGATGCCGCCAGACGGGAGCTTTGCGCTGTGAAGCGCGGCAGCATGGTGCGAGGAGATGACAGCCAATGAGTAAGTGGATGCCTGCTTGCAGTGGGGCGTGCGGCGCCTTGATCCGGTGCCAGACAGAGCTTGCTGCCTCTGTGCCTCGTTAAAGGAGAGGTGGCGGTGAGTGTGCGACGGTTGACTACAGGGCCCGACTTGTTGGAGTATCGGAAAGTTGTTCTGATGGTGGAAAGTAAGATGCAGCTTCTGAAGATGTGGGTCAGCACATCAGACTCATTCACCCACGCCCTTGCCGCGCAACCTGACTCGAGATATGCGTCTATTGATGATCGATCATCTTACCTCACCTGCCGCGCAGAGCGGTCGCCGAAAGACGCATCGCGCCATCGCGGGTCCACGCGCGCTGCGTCAGCTCCACAAGCCATTCTCCGTCACGTGACGTCAGAAATCGCATCCTCGCAACATGTGATCTTGGCTCGTGAGCTCGATGTACTTCACTTGACGTCCTCACGGTAGGATGGCAGACTTGGTACACAGTCCGTACAGGCGACTTGACCTTGATCTGAACTTAGAGCACTTGCATTGCAATGGACGAACGAAGGTATGACCCCGGCGTAGACTTACAACGGACAAAATAAGCCGAGTCACGACTTTTACTTTCACATAGCCCTCCTCTCAGAAGCTAGAGCACGCAGATCTTTGGCAGCAGAGTGCGGAACGATGTGTCTATATAATTCGGCGACAACGCACAGAAAAAGAGAGAGAGAGAGAGCAGTGATTCCAGTATCCGAGCGATTGAGACAGGAACGCGTCGTCCATCATTGCTTCTCTTCACGCTTCCTCTTAGCTTCACTTTCAGCCTCGCTCCGCTCTTCCCTGGTCTCTCTACTCCTTTCCTCCTGTACAACCTCCTCCACGACGTCCCTTGTGCGCGCGAAGACGCCCTTCTCGGACTCGGCAGATATCTTCCCATGACTTTCTAGCAGCTCAGCAGGGGTTGGCCTGTCGTACAGCTTCAACGGCATCAGCAGGTTGAAAGGCTGCGACCGGACCAACTTCAAGTATGCTCGCAAAGCTGATGAAGGGAAGCAAAGCCTCGAGAGTGAGCCGCGTTGCGTGCTGCACCAGAGCGATATCGCCAGGACGACTCACCTCCGCTCAGCTCTTTGGATCCTACTTCGCTAGCTCTCAAACCGCGTTCACTTGCTGCGCGAAGCAGATCGTCGCCCGAAGGTAGCCATGAGCTGATGCCTTGGCTGGCGTGCAGCGCCTCATCATCCCCACGCAGGTACTCTGCGTGCTTGAGCAGCCTGCGTGCCACAAGTGCCGAGGTTCCCCAAGTCGGCAACGCAAAGACACGAGCCAGGTCCTTGAGTTCCTGAGCGGGAAGCTGGCTAAGTGCTTCCTTTTCGGCGTCTGGTCCTTCATTAAGCTGCAGTGGCAGACCGCCAGCGCTTTGAGCCTCTCGCAAGTGAGCGACAGCAGTGTTGCGAGCGACCTCCGCTTTCGCTCGAATCTTCGCAGCCTGAGATGGCAAAATGCAAGTAGAAGGGAGGAGTCCAGGCTGGGGAGGGCAAGCAATCGGCTGTCAGCTTGGGCTTCGGATCTGCGGAGCTCTCCAGCAAGGACGCACCGCATAAATCACGAGCAATGGCAGCAGCTCTTCTAAAATGAGAAGGATAGCAACAAACAAAGGAACCTTGCGCATGTCGGAGTGATGCACTTGGCTGCAGCGCAAAAGAGAACGACCATCGTCAGTACACAGCGGAATTCTTCGACTGAGCCGCAGCTCCAAATACTGAGCATACATAGTTTCCCCTACGCTCCACTCACATCAGTTGCTTCTCTTCCCAATTCATGCCCAGCTCATTTGCTTCGAGCTTGCCCTCGGCTCGCCTAGCAGCCACCCGAGCCTGGATCTCCTTTGCCCTAGTGCGATTCGCCCAGATAGACTTCAAACCGGCCCAGTAGAACTTGAAAAGGAACCGCATTGTCTGCCACAGATTCTGCACTCGCTGCAACAACGTAGGTCTTGCGCCATCGTCCGTCTGCACGCCGCCACTAGAGGTTTGATCAGTCACTGCTTTGGGGGAGGCTTCCTGCGCAGAAGGCTTCTTTTGTGAGGTCGACCCAGGATCATGTTTTGACGAGAGGCCCGTAGCGTTTGTAGAAATCGTGCTAGGTGCGCTCTTGGTTCCGGCGTCGTGCTTCGGTGCGGCGGAGTGTACCGAGCCCTGATTCACGCGGGAGGAGCTCGCGCTTTTCGTTTGCACGCCTTTGCCCTTGGACTTGCTGGGCGACCAGTGTGGCGGCGGACTTTGTTCAGCTGCACGGTTCTGGTGCTCGCTGGGACCAGGTCCGGTAGCATTGAATTGAGTAGAGGTGGAGTGTATGCTGCGCCAAGATGCGCCGGCGGCGCCTGCAGATGGAAACTGCACTGGGCACAAGTCAAGAGGACGATTTTCGCCAAGGTGTTGCCGCAACCGCAATCCAGCTCGAGGAGGGATAGCAGCGGGCAATTGCTGTCCAGCGGAGGTGCTCAATGCCTTTGTAGAGCCTCGCAAGCGCACAATGCGCTGCATTTTGTGCAAGCGAAGAGGCGCTGGCGAGCCTGCTTGCTTACTGCTGACAGATTGAAAGCGACTCTTGAGGGCACGGTCGCGGCCCGCTTCAGTCCAGAATGACGTTGAGCGATGGCTGGTAAGGTGATCGCAGAGTGATATTTGACACTTGGAACGCGTTCATGGACGACTTGTGGATGTAAATGGGTCGATCAAACGATCGCGGTGAAGTGTTGAGACCGGCAGGGATGGGTATAGTCGGTGGGCGCAGGGCTTGCTGGGAACGTTGCGTTTTGAATTTTGAGGGCGTGCGGTCCGAAGTATCACGTGCTTGCTCCCGAAGCGCCGCGCGGACCCCTTCTGCTTCATCAGCTGATCAAACGCGAGCGTGAAGGCTTTGTGATGATGTGTGCGCATAGGGATGAGCTTACTTGCGTCTTTTCTGCTGCTGGTGCGCGGAGCCGGTCTGCACCGGCCGGCGGGGCAAGCTGCGCTCCTGAGACACGGCAGTGCATGCCATGCCCATCATGGCTTACAAAGCGGCCACGATACGATGGTCAGCTGGCCGTAGAGTGAACAGCAATCTCAACGAGGATGGCAACTCCTTCAAGACCGAGGATGACAAGAGCAGAGAAGCAGCTAGGTGCTCTTGCGTCGCGTGAGCAGTCGAAGGCAAGCGTGAGGGCGGAACATGTACTTACCCACGGCTGTATAGATCATCGCATTGTGCGTCGGATCCATTCAGGATTCCTCGATCTAGGCTTCCTCAATCACGAAGATTGCAGAGCATCGTCCAGAAACGCATGTAAGCCAACTTTATTCTGCTGATCAACATACCACTGGATTGATTCCAGGCGAGGCTCGAAACTTGAATCTTGCTTAGGTTGGGATACTCACACATTTCAAAAGATCCGCCAGAGCAAGCTGCGGGTCGACCGTTGCAGCCCTTGCAGCATATACATCTCATCTGCCACGGCATCAGCAGCGCAGACACCAGACGACGCCCATACCTGAAGAAGACCACGCTGGAGCAACAGATGGACAACGATCGCCATTTAATCGCTCAACCCTTGAGCAGCAACTTCCACGCTGCCTGCTGCTTGGGCTTCTTGCTCGGGAGAGCTTGGCTGGCGAGAGCTCGGTGGCTGTGTGGCTAGCCTGTCATCGCGCCGTCCAAGACGTGCATGCAGAGCCGACTGGCCCTGAGTCTAGCATAGCTATAGTCATCGGTGCCGTTTGGAATCCGGGCACAAGCTCAAGAACCATCTGGCGCATACACTCACGCGCGCAGTTGTGAAATGCTCCTGCGGGAGCGGTGTCAACAACGTTGATTGGATTCGGTTTGTAAGACTTCAAGCTGTTTAAGATCCTGCTGGTTGCGTTGCGGTGGAGATCTACGAAGCGGCTTCCCGCCTCGCTCATTCCGCCTGAGTCGTAGAAGCACGGATTCACCTCGACCACGGCGACTTGATGATTCACTCGAGACACGAAGCATGCTGGGCGCGGCTCTCGCCAAACAAGGTTGCATAATGCAGACAATTGTGATTAGCCCAAACAGGAAAAGAGTATAACAGGTATATGTATAGCTCATAGAGCCGTTATAGCAGCAGCGATATAGCTCAATGGTGTGATCCGTGGTTGAAGGGCCACGAGCGCTTCACGATTGCCTCCATGGCTATCCTGGCTTGGGCAGGCGTCAACGCGCGCGATGCCCGTGCCTCGAGCCTGCGCCCGAGCGCGCCTCCCTCAAGCATCCGCGGCGAGACCAATCCGCGAGTAAACATCATTCGCGCGCAGGGCACTGAACGAGGCATCTACAGCAGGCACGCGCAGGCGATCCTTTGTGGGACGGAGTCCACATGAGCTGCAGATGATGTTGAACAGCTCTGCACGAGTAAGTATATAGCCAAAGGGTCTAAATTGAAGATTCCTGATTGTGAGCAGCCAGCTAGCTGTGCCGGTCGGCCGTCTCGAAGGTCTGAGGTTGCACAAAGTCCTTCCCGGCGTAAGCCCACGCGGGGCTCGAGCAAAGTTGGCTCTTTGGGGTCTGCATAGACTTCAGACAGCAGAGCCGTCACACTCACTTTGGTCTTAAGCATTCACTGTTTGCAATCTTTCATCAGCGCTCGCCTTTGTAGCGAGGGTCTCTGTAGCCACTCTGGAGATCTGGCTTCGGTAGCCTCGTCAGGCCACTCGCGACTTGCTCTTATTTAGCCACTCAGAACAAACACGCTCGCGCTTGCAGGGTTGAGCCGGTCGGACCACGTGCATGTGCATCATCACTCGAAGTTACCTACAACAGCCTTCTAATGGTGCTCAATAACAAGCTGTCGGACGCTAGCAAACGGTCAGCAACGGATCTGGTGGCCTTCACACCCTAATCGCCACTCCCCCGTGCCGCTTGTGAGCGTCTGGACAAGTTTGGGCGCCGTTACTCGCTCCACGCAACACGACTTTTCGCTCTCATTAGCTGCCCGAAAGCTTTCGCGGCAACACCGCCATCGTCACTTCTTCACACGGCATCTTGTAGGCTTGTTATCTCTGAAATCAACGTGGGATGCCAAAGCTACGGAGCGACCCTCACATCTTTTGGATGCTACAGTGGCAGGAGTAGTGACCCATCGACAGTGGAGGACTTACCTGGTGCACATATATCTCTGCTTCCTTGCCTCCTGGAAGGAACCGAGCAGTGGTCTGGAGGGCTGCAACTTCGGCAAACCGCCGCTCGCGCCACAGGCAAAGGCTCAGCGTCGCACCAAACCGACCCACATTCTGCCGAGTATATGCTCTTCGTTGAGGGGAAGGTGACTTCACAGTCTCGGCACATAGTCCTTCGACCAGCTGTTCAGCTCTTCAACAGGTGTCATCATGCCAATGCACGCCGGCGATCGCGCTGCTCGACTTCGCCAAGCATCTTCACGTGGGGCACCTCCCCCCCAAGTCGCACGAGCAGTTCAGAATGCTCTCAGCAGGGGCGCGGATAGACAACAAAGCCGCCCACTCGCTGATGTGAACACTCCATTTGGCTCGCAATCCTCTCCACATCGCTCGGTCGCCATTGCCCCCGCACGTCGCGCGCATACAGTGGCAAACACGAACAGTCTCATGCGACAAGTATTTTGTCAAGCATATCAGCAGTCGGATCTTGTTCTTCACCGGGAAGCTGCCCATCGATACTTCTCCACGTACTTCGAGCGTCACCCATCTTCTGTGGTCATCTGGACCTGCACCAATGCTGAAATGGACACTTTCGTGATGCACCGGGACCTCAATTTTCGGGGAGATGCGACGGCCACACTCCTGCCAATTTGGTCCGAGCAGCTTACACTTCCCAGTCCCACGCTTACTCGCATACCTCTTAGGGAGTACCGCCGCGCGACTTGGTCGGGGGTGCACTCTTCGAACTTCATGGTAGAAGACGGTACATCAACAAATGCTTCAGCTACGCATACAGGCACAAGCCACAGGAGTGTCTCGGCACCACAACAGCGCTTGGCCATCGAAGACGTGCCTGGCAAAGAACCAAGTCAAGGCGATGTGCCCACAGATGCTTCTCTCGATGACGTGGTCGCGGCCATTGTTGAGGCAACAAGCGTGGGCCACAAAAAGAAGAAGAAGCCCAGTAAGCGCAAAGGCAAGGGAACTCACACTGCAGAGCCAAAGGGGAACGTCAACGAGACTATAATAGAAGGACTATCTAAGCTATCCTCATCCGAGCCAGTTCCAGCGGCTTCTCTCTGCGCGGTTGTAGCAGACAACGCCTTCGAGACGAGGCTCCCTTCGCCTACACCAAATGCTCCAGAAGACGATAACGATGGCAAAGATACCCTGAGTATCGCTCTGGACATAGCCGCACATCCCGACACGACCTCCCTTGAACAGCTAGCTTACCGGTCAGACCTGCCTTTGCTTGGAGCCGTTCCCGCGCAGCAGCCGGACGCGCTTGAGTCGGCACGAAGGTCTGTGCCAATTTCACAGTCCGAGAGTCAAAGAAATGAAACCGCACAGACTTCGAGTCACCGCTCTGAGGCTTCTCCATCTTTGCAGGTGGCAGTGCCACCCAAAGCAGTCACACCTGCCCAGGTACCAGCGGGCGACAATGCATTGTCATTGATCGATGCTGCCAAGGAAAGCTCTGGCCGAAGTGCATCACCAGACACTTACAAAGTCCGACCGGCCCGCACTTCCGAGCCGCTTTCAACGACCGAGCCAACGCCTTCCAGACCTGCCTTTGTTGCCGCGTCTTCCTCCCACCCGCAGTACAAGGACGACACCGTCCCTGTTCGTGCGGACCGCGTCTATTCGCGCATGGTTCGCTCACCACATCTGCCCAATTCTCCGGCGAGCATACATGCCAAGCAACACCTCGTTGTGCCATCGGCCGCTCACGGGGAGGACTGCGCGCTGAGTAGCAATAGCCATGGTGAGTCAAGCAGAACCTAGTCTCACAGTAATGGAATCTGAAGCGGATATCTGTCCATCCCATGACTCAGGCGATGCGACGCCCGACCCGTCACTTTGCAGTGCTGCCAGCGACAATGTATCAGTGGCCACCGCTAGACCTAGGAAGCACCCTCGGAATCGGAAAAGTAATGTAGCGACCGCAGCCAAACCTTATCGGAATGCCAAGACGCAGGACGTGGGCAGGGATCGCACAACGACCGACCTTTCTGCTCAAGCATCGACGAGTGCGGCCAGTCGAAAGGTGCCAGGCTCGGCAGACACCCATCCAACCGCACCACTACCCAAGACGCAATCAGGTAATTCAAAGCGAAGCAAGGCTGCTGCAAAGAGAGCGGCCAGAGAAGCAGCGGAAGCCGAGCAGCACGGCCGCCGTATAGCAGAAGCGGTGGCGGCAGCTGAAAGAGCCAGGCCAGACCTACCCTTGGTCGGCTTGCCTGCAGCCGAAGCTGCGTCCGATGAGGGGAGCAATGCCTCTCAGCGTGGCCTTGTGACCACCACCAAAAGACGTCTCACCACCAGTCTAGCACCTCCACAAGAGCGCTCAGACTCGCCACGCCGCTCACGTCCACTATCTAAGACGGAAACGGAGTTTTCTTACGTCACTGCTCTAAGCCTGCCACCAGACCAAGAGCGAGACTTTGTCGAGGGTCCCGGCACCACCGAACGCGGCCACTTGCTTGACGAACGCGGGAAGCTTGTGACCCCGAGCGTCTCGACGCGAGGATCCTCAAAGCAAACCGATATGCAACGAGACGAGACAAACACTGCGTCCTTGCTCGGTACGGAGATAGACTATGAGGACGCTCAAGAACAGACCTACACACAATCCGATTGCGGCGGCTCGAGAAGCGCCTCTGCACCGAAGCCCTTCGTCCTACTCACCGATACGAGGAAGCAAGAGCTGCTACGTTCTCCTGAGACCCTTTGCCCGGCTCACCTGGCCAATCCTTCTAATGAAGGGCTACGGCACATGCATTCAGCCTCATCACAGCAATGGGACATGACAAAACCTGTCGAGCACTCTGGAGCAAGCCCGGATGTCAGTCGTGATACCGTCGACGAGGGCGACGTCGAGCGGCTGCAACGCATCTCGCGAACTGCGGCCTGGGTATCCGATGAGCATAGCAAGCGCCAGCTGGTCACGACTACCGTTAGAGGCTTCGGACCGAAGTCACACGAGCGAACAAGTGGAAGTTGTGCCTCGGACTCGTCCTCGATTTCAAGGCTGGATCTCCGCATCAGTGCACAACACTCTACTCGTCGAGGACTTGCTCCACCCATCGAACCACCACACGTCGCAGCTACGCCAGCTACTTACTTGCAATGTGCCAATAACCTGTGCGATCTCAACAATTCGACGCCCTCCGTCGCCATTCGACGCTTTCGCGCACTCAAAGCGGTGCTGAGAAGTCCAGCATTCAAACCGGTTACTCTAGTTCCGGGCGATCGCCGCAGCTTCTCCATGACGGGAAAGTTTGTCGACCTGCACCATCTACAAAGCTCACCGGTGCGCTCTGCCAAGTTCGTGCTTGACGTCAGGCATTTGCCATCGTTCGACCAAGTACATGTTCCCTCTTCTCCCGAAACCGTCAGACGGGCGGAGGGTCTGACGTATCTAAACTTGGACGCTCGGCGGCTCCAAGATAGTCCTTGTAACTTGGACGCTCGGCGGCTCCAAGATAGTCCTTGTATGGATGAATGCAAGCGCTATACAACTCTGACCGATGGCCGTGATGTAGCACATTCGCCACGCACTCGGAGCGCGAGCGTTCCACCTTATCATCGATTCCCTCGTCCTGAAACGGGAGTAAATACAGGAAGAGTGTTGCCTCACACTGCCCCAGCAAGGCCAGCGCGTTTGCCAGACTGCTCAGCTGGCGAAGTTTCGCTACAAGACTCGATTCCAACCCTTCGCATCAATATACCTTCTGACCACATGGACACCACTACACCGGAGAGCACATCTTCCATTTGGCCCACTGCGCCTGACTCTTCGATGCTCGAGCCTCTTTTGCTGTCACCCGCCTCGAATTCTGACTTTTCCGGTTCCTCGATTGCCCCTCATACTGGTTATGGTGGCCCTCATGCCTTGGATGTAGCCAACAACCTCCCGCAACCCAATTTGCTTGGCTTGTCAGCCGGCAATTTCGACTTCGACTTCTCCAATTCAGTCCCACTTTCTTCGCCAGGCTTTTTGCCACCATTCTACAGTGGCGACATCGACACAACTGGTGGCTACGCGAGTGAAGTAGACTCGCCACGGTGTCAAGATCAGCTGGCTGCATCAGAAGTCCGCCGCACTGAGCTTTTCAGTTGGCTCCAGCAATTTGGCACAGTCAGCACGGAAGAGGCGGAGGCAATAGGTCGCTTCTTCGACGAGACGGAGCGACACTACATCGAGCTGATGGGCGATGAGGTGTGTATCTCGAGCCGTACTGCTTGCCATTCACCATGCTGACATGCCATCCCGCTCCAGTCCGCCAAACACCAGCCTACCGACAAGGCATCACTCTCAACCTCGCTCGATTCTATCATCCTTCCCGCTTCTCGCCACTACAGGCCCCGCTCGTCAACCGGCAGTCGCTCGGCTGAGCCGGGCTCAGCCATAGATACCGAAGCTACGCCGCGTCCTCTTCAACCGAGTGGCTTTGCTAGCTCCGGCACCCAAGATAATGGATGCGACCTCTCAAGCGAAAGCCAGTGGGCGCGCATCGAGCAATCAGAGCATGAGCGGTGAGTAGGACCAATGCTTTGCCATGTTAGCGCGGAGGTCCTGCGCTCATGAGTTCTCTTCAACCGCACCGCCCTTGATCAGATGCCCAAGGCCTCGAGGCCTGAGCTCCAACGGCAGAGGCCGCGGAAGGGGCACCCCTGACAGGGGTCTTCGAGGCAGGGGGCGTGGAAGAGGAAAGCTTAAGGGGGGACCGGACCGAGAATCCTTCCATGCTTCAACGGCGGAGGACCAGAGTGGGTTTGGCCGGGCCACCGGCGCCCCGATGTGGTTCCCGGCAGCTTCACCGGAAATCAGCCCCGCGAACATCTTCGCGCCCAATTATAGCAACCCAGCTCAGAGTGATCCAGCCGTAGCGAGCTACTCTCTTGGTCCGGGGCGCGCGATTTCGACAACGATGTCGGCTGGCGACAGTTGCCGTCCTCCAATTCAGCTTCGGTCTGACGGATGGTTTCAGACAGCGTCAAGGCGTGAGGCCACTCTTCATCACTGTCCAGACGACAATGAGCAACTGGCTGGTCGTCCGCCAACCACGGGAGTGCACGATACTGTGCGTTCCGCGACGTACGGAGAGCAAGCGCAGCAATTGGCTGCAGCCTTTTTGCAACAACATGGCCCTACACACGCGGATTGGGATGGTCTGGTCGCAGAGTGCGCGCAAGTCCTGCGTTGGAATCTGTCAGCCATTGGGGTCGGGCATAGTACTGGACAAGCAGCTCCGACGTTGGCACCAAACGAGCTGGTCGATGCCTACCGCGGTGTGGGCGTGTCGCAGGTCGACCATAAAGCTCCTGCACCTCACGGATCTATTGGAGTCTGGAACAACGCGTCCCAAACATTCATGACGTCGAACGAAGCTTGTCACCCTAATTGGCTTGTGTACGAGCACGCCCGCCAGCTGATTGCCTCCCATTTCGGCTACTCCCCGCTTGTCAGCCCGATGCAACAGCTTCCCGCCGGACTGCTGGTTCCTTTTGCCCCACCCGCTCAGCTGAGACGTTCCAGCGTGCAATCTGTCGGTACCGACGACTGTTCTACCCTTCCTGCAGAAGATACTTCAGCTTCCATGGCCGCACAGGATGGCGCCGCGCAATGGAGCAACGCTAGTGCAGCATCCTTTCATCAGAGTGGCAGAAACGAGTCTTCGCTTCGTAGCTTCGACAATCGCAGTCACAGACCGGCACAAAGGTCAGACTCTAGCGCTGCACATGCCTCCTCAGACGCGCGCTCTTGGGACAGCAGAGGCGCATATGGCTCAAATGCAGCGAGCGGAAGACAAGCTGCCTATCCTCCAGGTTCGGCAGCAGCCGATAGCGATCCCGCAAGTGTAGACGCCCGGCGAGCACTGCAAAGTCGTAGCACTGTCGGAGCTGGTGCGACTCTTCCTCGAAGCTCCAGCCCGTCACCTACTGGCTCCGGCTTCCGCTACAATTCTTCCAGGAATCCTACCATCAGAAATGATCGAGTCCAAGCGTCGAGCTTCAAGAGCTTCCATCGCTCGGAATCTGCTTCCCAACGGCGGGAGCCGAGATCATGGCGCAGCTCAGACCTACAACATGGCGAACATCAGCATTCTACTCCTTCCAAGGCTTATCCTCGTCGTGGTGATCAGAATCGCTCCCCTGTGCGCCCTCGTGGCGGCTTTCAACGCTTCGGTGGTGTCGTGCACGAAGACGACTCTGATACGCGTACGCTTGCTGGCGAGGCTGCTTGTCGCGTCTCGCCACCTGGTTTGAGGTGGGCCAGCCCACGTACCGGTACTGGAAGGCGTCCTGACTTGAGAGGTGCCATGCACTGGAGCTAGCGTAGTGTTCTCCACGCACTTGCTTGTTTTGACTCGCAGACCCGGAGGTTAGGACAGAGCAATTTAGTCGTCGCGGTTCGTTCCCATTTAACCCCATCACAGCCTACGTCGTTTGTTCTTACCACCTTGTCTTTCGCTGTAGTACCTTTTTCAACCCATCTTCGCCAGCTATCGCCCCACACGCCTCCACTCGCTCTCTGGCAGCAAAGTCTCCCCCTCCCCCCCCACTTGATTCCGCTCCACTCCACACTACTCTTCAACCCGCATATTTTGATGTAGCTTAGTCTAGATTGCAATGTCCTGTTCTGCCCAGAGCCGCTGGACGGCAGTGAGACTGGAGTGGTCGGATGCGGATGTTCCAGTCGCTGAAGAAAGCCTATCGAACAAATTGCCTGATGTGCGCGGCTTCCGAATCGGCTTGCAACGTCGCCTTCCGCGGTTGGAGAGTCAGAGCGAATGAAAGCCAAAAATCATCCATGAGTCACGAGTGAATTAGTGGAGGTGTTGCATCTCGCGGCGCAGAATTCTCTCGATTTTGATTGCCAATGGCTTACGCCACGTGAACTCGTCTTTGTTGCGCCCCGCAGCGCTGCTGTGTGTTGCTTGGCGAGTCATCTCCGCAAAAAACGGCTCCTAAGGCCTACGCCCAAAGGCACGCGTGACTCGAACCACTTTCGATCGGAAGATTGCTCGCAAGGCCGAGCTTAATTCATGACACTATACACGTATTTTGATCAGTTCATCTCGCCAGAAAGCATACACTCGTGATTGTTCCTCGCGATGAAGGGCCAGATCCGATTTGTAGATGACTCGTACAGGAGCAACGGACGCCAGGCCGCGTCTCCGACAGACCTAACATTTCGCGACTGACTGGTTGACTGTGACTGTGACTGATGTCAATTCACTACCGCGCGGTATATGCACGTACCTCAGCCTACATCCTTCGCGCAGCTAGAGTTTGCGGGTGTTGCATCTACAGTAGCTCACCGTGGTCGGTCGCCGTGCTGGCGCCGCTACGCTGCTACGCCAATCACCGTGCACGTTTCGCCTGCTGCACCGCCTGCGGTCTTCCAGCTGCTGTGGCCACGGCGCGAAATTTTTTCGTCAGTCTGCGCGTGCATGCATGACCTGAGCTAGCTGGCGGACGGGCGGAGGGTGACTCGTGCGCAGAGCGAGCGAGCAAGGGCATGCGCGCGTGGGTGCGTGTGCGTGTGCGTGTGCGTGTGCGCCTTTCCAAAAGTCTGCTTGCTGACCTGGAAGACTTGCACGGCTTGAGATGCAGCATCAGGGCAGTGTTCGCCTCTTTGTTCCCCGACGCCCCGTCTCCGCCTCTCCCCCTGGCAGCACGCGTGAGCATCAGCCTTCGCCTGGCAAGGTGCGTGCGTGCGTGCGCAAAAGCTGGCTGATGAATTTTCTTCATGAAGCGAGCCTTTGCCACCCTACACACATCTTCTCGACCACAACAACTGTCCTGTCACATATCCGGACTTCGCTCTTTATACTACCTTACATACTCATCAACCCCCCCAATACTTCGTCACAATGGGTAAGGAGAAGCTTCACGTGAGTATCGCAGTAAGCTGAGCGCTGGAAGCGAGTCCTTATCTCTATCTGCCATCGATGTGCGTACATGCTGACTTCGTCTTCATGTGGGTCCCTCGAACTGCTAGGTTAACGTCGTCGTCATTGGCCGTAAGTAGCAATTGAAATTGGTGTCACAAGGCGAAACAACGTGCTGAATGCGTTCGTCTCCTTCCACACTTTTCAGATGTCGACTCCGGCAAGTCTACCACTACCGGTCACATGATCTACAAGTGCGGTGGTATCGACAAGCGTACCATCGAGAAGGTGAGCTTTGGGCCCTGTGACTAGCGTTTTCTTCCCAACCTCTGTGCTCATTGTGATCGCGACCCATTTCACCCCTCAGTTCGAGAAGGAGGCTGCCGAGCTCGGCAAGGGCTCCTTCAAGTACGCCTGGGTGCTTGACAAGCTGAAGGCTGAGCGTGAGCGTGGTATCACCATCGACATTGCTCTCTGGAAGTTCGAGACTCCCAAGTACATGGTCACCGTCATTGACGCCCCTGGTCACCGTGACTTCATCAAGAGTGAGTCGGAACGTTCTCTGAGCTGTTTGCTGAACTTCGACACTGACTCGAGACCCGCCTTGTACACTCCCAGACATGATCACGGGTACTTCTCAGGCTGATTGCGCCATTCTGATCATTGCTGGTGGTACCGGAGAGTTCGAGGCTGGTATCTCAAAGGATGGCCAGACTCGTGAGCACGCTCTGCTCTCCTTCACCCTCGGTGTGCGTCAACTCATTGTCGCCGTCAACAAGATGGACACCACCAAGTACTCCGAGGACCGTTTCAACGAAATCATCAAGGAGACTTCCACCTTCATCAAGAAGGTCGGCTACAACCCCAAGTCTGTTGCCTTCGTTCCCATCTCTGGATGGCACGGTGACAACATGATTGAGCCCACTACCAACATGCCCTGGTACAAGGGATGGGAGAAGGAGACCAAGGCCGGCAAGTCCACCGGAAAGACCCTCCTCGACGCCATCGATGCTATCGAGCCCCCTTCTCGTCCCACCGACAAGCCCCTGCGTCTCCCCCTGCAGGATGTTTACAAGATCGGTGGTATCGGTACGGTGCCCGTCGGCCGTGTCGAGACTGGTGTCATCAAGCCCGGTATGGTTGTCAACTTCGCCCCCGCCAACGTCACCACTGAGGTCAAGTCCGTTGAGATGCACCACGAGTCTTTGACCGAGGGTCTCCCCGGTGACAACGTTGGCTTCAACGTCAAGAACGTCTCCGTCAAGGACATTCGTCGAGGAAACGTTTGCTCTGACTCCAAGAACAACCCCGCCCAGGAGGCTGCTTCTTTCAACGCCCAGGTCATCGTCATGAACCACCCTGGTCAAATCGGTGCAGGTTACTCGCCCGTGCTCGACTGCCACACTGCCCACATTGCGTGCAAGTTCGCCGAGCTCCTCGAGAAGATCGACCGTCGTTCCGGAAAGTCCATCGAGTCTGGCCCCAAGTTCATCAAGTCTGGTGATGCCGCCATGGTCAAGATGATTCCCTCCAAGCCCATGTGCGTCGAGGCTTTCAACGAGTTCCCTCCTCTTGGTCGTTTCGCCGTCCGTGACATGCGTCAGACCGTCGCTGTCGGTGTCATCAAGGCTGTCGAGGCTGCTGCTGCCAAGGGTGGTAAGACCACCAAGGCCGCTGAGAAGGCCTCCAAGAAGAAGTAAACCTTTCTTCAAGATGTATGGCATCATGCCATGGGGGCTCAGGTATCGTGCTTGTACTCTGGTTCATGTAGTCAACGCTTGACGAGAGTCTGCCAGGATTTCCTTGAGATTCCCCACCATCTTCCCCTGCCCGCGTAGCGCACCGCGGAGTATGTGCGCACCCACCAAAAGATTTCTTGTCAATTCAATCCGTCATCTCGATAGTGTCGTGTGACGCTTGATTTCGAATGAGAGCTGCGTGTTACACTCGCTTGGCACTACACGACCACAAGCTGTGGATCTACATTCGTGAGATTTGAAAATTCTTTCGGGGAGGGACTTGCAACTGTCATCACGGCGAACCACTTCGACGCGAGTTGTTGATAGCCTATACTTGCTGACCTGACCCAAGCTTTAATCATGGGCCTATGCGGCCTAACAAGATTTGCGACAGTGACTCTTCGTCGATTCGCGCTGTCGACTAAAGATCAAACGTTCAGGTTCACCACCGTCGTCGTAGGTGGCGAGAGCAGAACTTGCTCGATCTTTGCTACTTTTGGTGAGGCTCACGTGCGCCTCTTAACCTTGGCACGCACGGCAGGTATTGCGATCGATGCCTTGCAGACACAGTCTATAGAATCAGCGCTCCCTCGTCGTCTCGTCTGGCCTCTGACTCGTCCTGTACAAGTCGAGCGGCGGACAGAGTGCGCATGGAGGCTGTACTGATTGCTGAAAGGGGAATGATTTTGTACGATCGAGCGCAGCCTTCTTATCGACGCGCTGAAGCTGCTGGAGCATCACACAGACAATGCGACTACTAGTACACCATGCATTGAAGCTGAAGCGACATGTGGGGAAAGAGACGCTTTGATTTCAGACAGCTCTACTGCCGATCCTCGCGAGAGACTAGGGATGGACGGAGCACATGAGGCAAGCTATTCAGCGCTCGATTCGTGACTCCAGTGCCAGCGAAGGGTAGAGATTGGCAGATAAGCCGTCTAATACTCACATCTTCGCTGTTCTCTGCTTCTTCGATCGCATCGCTCTGCGAAACGACTCTCAGGACGCTCTTCTTACTGCTCTCCTGCAATTCACCGCCAATGATCAACTCGTCAAGGATCTATATTCGACGGGCGCGAAGTGCAAACGTCGGGGACAAGAGAGCGGTGGTCAGGATAGGAGCTGAGCGGGCATGGGTTAGATGGGCGCCCAGACTCACCGAGTAGGCCTTTTGAAAGTTGAAGATGAGGTCCAGCTCGCATACCTGTTGGCGACCAAGGGCGACGGTAGGGTCGAGAAGGAAGCGGCGACTCAGTGAGGAAGCATGCGTGTCGCGGACCGCAAGGAAAAACGCTATCGCTGAGACTAGAAAGACGCTGCTACCGGCACCCTCTATCCTTATCCCGTCACACCGTCAACAAGTCAAGGAATCCAGTGACAGACGACAGCCAGCCCGTGTGCCGACATGCAGACAGTATTTTCTCGCACCAATTCACCGTTGCACTGGGTCCAGCTCGTGATGTACGCTCGCAACACTCACATTTCCAAAGTACCTGTCCAGTACTTCGACGTACCGATGTATCATCTCCAACGTGACCAATTCGTTATCTCCAGGAGCGATACCGCTCACAAAGAAAAGACTGGCATACCTCCTATACACCACTTTTGTATCCTTGTACTCTAGAAAGTTGCACATTCTTGTGCGACGTGCTAGTACCAGTTGAGTCACATCCTTTGTGATCTTGGCCTTGGACTTGGGAGAGAGCGTGGTGAACCACTTGGCTAGACGTACTTTGCCTTGACGGGAAATGAGCAGAATCCACGTCAGACCCATGTTCGTTTGGGATGCTGTGGGGGTCCTTGGGATGAAGCGTTTGCAGCTGGCCAGCTATGAGAGGACTTGTGACTTGAGACGATGCTTGTTCCGCAGCTTGGTCGGCGGGACCGCAAACGCGTTCGGTCGTCCTGCTGTACCTTGGTTTGACTTGCTGATCGCTTGTGCTGCTGACGACTACGCTGCTGTCAAGATGGTCTGCAAAAGGTGTTGGCTTTGAATGGCAGAGGGGAACACGACGGAAGAGGTCGGTGGGACATGATGGTTCACGAAGCGCGTGTATGCGTCACCTACAGCCATGCAACTTTGGGGAAAGCTGTCAAGCGGCACCGCACGTGATCGATGCTCAGCAGCGGCCAGCTTAGCGTGAACAGCCGAGGAGGTGCACGTGCATTATCACCTGTGGAGTGAATGCTGAAGCGCATTGCAAAGCGTTGTGATTCGCGATACGTCCTACTTATGTGTCTTCATCTTCTTCTCGTTGTCACTCTCCTGAGCAGCACACCATACTTCAGCGGGTCCTCTCAGCGGGTCGCGGCTTGCTTTCCTTGGTGCAGAGGTTCGGGGATGAGGTTGGATAGATACGCCAGCGCACTGCTTCGATCGAGCCATCGAGGAACGCAAGACGCAAGTAGAAGTCACTCATTTGGGCGCTCAGTGGTGGAGCCAAAGGCGCACTGCAAGATCGAGAGGGACGCCAGAAGGACAGCAGTCTCTTCTGACCTCGAAGACTTAGGAACCTTGAAGCTGCGGAGCCTGAGCCGAAGGACGCCGGCTTGACCACACAAGGGCTGCTCTTCACGCCAGCTCCGTGTGCGCACCTCAATACCGTAGAGGTGGCTACAGCTTGCCGGTGAAACCGATCAGACCAGCGAATTGCCAAGTCTAATCGCTTTGCAATCGTCACAGGACATCATGCTGCCTGTCTTGAGTGCCCGAAGGGCGTTCTCACTCTTCTTGTCGGGCTTGTTCCTCCACCTCAGCATTCCAATGCCTCAAGTCTGCTGCATTCAAGTTCCACTTCGGACGGATCAGCCTTTCTCTTCGTCAGCTTCGAGCGCACACGGTCGTTTCTTGCACATCACCGACCTACATCCGGATCCATTCTACTTGTCCGGAGGGAGCGTCGAGGCGGGCTGTCACGAGAAGAAACCGAAGGGCGGCAGGAGAGCAGGGGCATGGGGTACGCCTATAAGGTGAGAGAGGCCCTGCGGATCGCCTCTGCGTGGAAGAGTGCTGGGGAAAAGACCTTCCAAAGGCTGCTTGCCAGCTCGTGTGATGGATAAGAGGCCGTTGGGCAAGACTGTCATCTTGGGATCGATCATCTGCTGACCCTGACTTCTGCGATGATCGCCCTCCCAGCGACTGCGACTCGCCTCCACACTTGATAGAAGCCTCTTTAGATTGGCTTGCGCACAACTTCATGCCCACCTCATCCTCCACCTCGCGAGGGGAACGCGCATCAGAAGTAAGCGCAAGGCATGATGAAGCAGATGGAGGACGAGGGGTGGATTTCATCATTTGGACAGGTGATTCTGCCAGACACGATTTAGATTCTGGCCATCCTAGAACCAGATCGGAGATATACGAACTCAATAGATGGGCTGTAGGAGTGCTCGAGAAGCGATTTCCTGGTGTGCCTCTGGTTCCTACTATTGGCAACAACGACATTGTGAGTCTATGCGGGCTACGGAACGTGAGCCGGGCATTGGCGCACGTACTGCGACTGCGCCACCGGTCTGCGCACAAACACTCAAGCTGACTCGAGGCAAGTCGATACCAATCACAGTTCCCTCATAACATTCTCTTTGCAGGTCCTAACGATGTGACGCGAAGCTACCTGTCCATCTGGACAGATCATATCCCAGAAGATCAATCACATACATTTTTCGTTGGAGGCTACTACTCCAAAGAGGTTCTTCCATCCCAGAATCTGTGGGTGCTGAGCCTGAACACATTATGGTGGTACGATTCCAATAGAGCAGTGGATGGGTGCAAGAGATCCAAAAAGGGCAAAAAGGACCAAGGAGATCCGGGGAGCAGACACTTGGATTGGTTAGAGGCTCAGTTGGGAATGCTCAGGAAGCGAGGAGCCGCTGTGCATCTCATCGGCCACGTCCCTCCGACTGCTGGGAACTACTTTCCTAGATGTGAGTTCTGCGCTCACATCCTGCTTGGGAGCAGACAGGGACTCATCAAACTTCTTGTGCTCGCCGAACTTAGGTTACGATAGATATACAGACATTGTGCTTCGATTTCAAGACACGATAGTTGGGCAACACTACGGCCACATGAACGTGGACGGCTTGTTCATTCAGGAAGACTCCTCGGCCAACAGTGATGCGATGTCGCAGCGCGATGACGCGCTCACTCCAGCACGCCTGGGAATTCTTGTCGAACGCCGTGCCGAGGAGCATGGTAACACTACGCGCGATGAAGAGGTGCACGTTCAAAGTCTCAGTGCGGACCTGAGACACGACTTCAAGACTTTGCCTGGTGAAGCTCGGACGGATTTAGATCTGTACCACGCATTCTTTGCGGCGCCCAGCATCGTACCGTGAGTGAATGAGGTAGATAGTCTCAGGTCAAGCCTACATGCGAGTGTTTGAGGCTGACGATTGCTGTCGTCTTGATTACGTCGACAGTACCTTCTGGCCTGCTGTCAGAGTATGGACTTACAACGTCACCCGTGCGCGGCATGGGTCCCTCCAAAATCTGTCGTCGACTGAACGTGAAGTAGAAGACGTTGGCAGGCAGATTATCGAGCTACGCTCAGCCCAAGCAATGGGAGCGGAGAGCGACGCGGACGAATTGGCCGAGGCGGATTTGTTTGGAGAGCGGCATGAAGGAGCTCCCCTGCACACGGCGAAGCGCAAGCATCGACGCAAAAAGCATCGCAGACACAAGAACCTGCCTCGTCATGTCTCGCCATCCTCTCCAAGCCGAAGCAATGGCCGTTTCAGTCTTCTTGGCTACTCTCAGTGGATCTGCGATTTGGACGCAGCAAATGAGCGAGAGGCGGACATGGATGCTATGCACTGGGAAAGCGCGTCTCGCAAGAAGTCCGACGGCCTGCAGTTCTACTTGGAGTATGCTACTTATCAGCCCGAGACGCTGTGGGCCGAGCTTTTGCAGCAGAGCGACTCTTCGGCGCTCGAAAGGGGTACGAGCAAGCCACAAGGAAACCACGCGCACCCGAGCGAGTCCTCAGCCGCCAAGCACATACCCGTTCCAAAGCATCTGTTGCAAGCCGAATTGAAGAGGCTCAAGTCGGATCCTCCTAGATGGATACATGGCCGATATCACTCTTCGGAGTCGGACCAGCTCAATGGCGGTAGCGAGATGAGCAAACATCGAAAATTGCACATGCCCAAGCGTCTAAAGCATCTGACGGATTGGGACCTGCCTTCCTTGACCATACCTGATCTGCTGCAGTTTGGCAGACGGCTTGCAAGCGACAAGAAATTGTGGAAGAGATATAGAAGGAGGATATACGCTGATTCTGGAGCTTTGGATTGAAGCGAGGTGCATCATAGAAATGCGTCGTAGTGGGGCTCCGCAAATACGTAGCATCCCCTGCATCCATCACTCCCATCCACTGCCATCTGCACGCCCTTTGTAATCCATTTGCAAAAATGACCCTCTGCTCGCTTTGGGCCGAGTGCGTATAAGCTCAAGTCATCTCACGCACACAAGCCAGACCGTCAAGTGGATGCTTGCTTGCCAAACGAGTGGCACACAAG